TTTTTTTTTTTTTTTTTTGCAAAAAAATACATTTTTAAATAAATAATTTGATTAAAAATATGTGGTTAAAAATAATTTTTTTTTAGATTTAAGTTTGATATTATTTTATTAAAGAATCTGACGTTGAAAAGATGAGAGATAAAAATGTATTTTGAAGAAAAATAGAATCAGGCCTAAAAAATCAATAGGATTATTAATTAATTAACAAATTGTCAAATACTGCTGTAATATATTGAGAAGAAACTAATTCACTCTCTCAAAAATCTGCACTAAAATGAAAGCCCTAGCCCTACCTTCCCTTTCTTACTGTCCAGATTCCTTCCTTTCCCACAACTCTATTTCATCCAATTACTGTACCACCTTAACAACCAAATTTCGCACTGTTCGCACTGTGAAATGTTGCGTTTCAGCACCATCATTAGGTGGGTTTACTGTTTTTCATCAATTTACTGTATTTGTATTTGAATTATGGGTTTTATGGAGAGATGAGTTTTATAGTGATTGATATAATTTACAGAATGTAGAGTGCTCTGCGGTTAACCGATTGGTCTCATGTTCAAATTGGATCCTTTCTGAATTAATGAATTTAGAATAAAGGACTGTTAAGAGTTCAGAAAATGTTTAATTGTAGCATTTGATTAGCATTTCGTTGTACTGTATCTATTTATGTGCATTGTTTTTATATATAAAGCCATAAAGATGTAAATAAACTAGTCTGTAAGTATGCTCCGTGAAGAATTTGATTGACTAGGTAATGTTAAGAGGAACCACGATAAGTTTGGTTATAAGTGGAGGGAGTATATACGTTTTGCCCTCTATTTAATAACTTCTTTTGATGTGTGTTTTGTAACGGGGTATGTTGAGTGCAGTGAACCACTTGGTCAAGTTCAAGGAAGCAGCGAAAGATGGGAATTTGATTCCATTGTATAAGCCAATATTTTCAGATCACTTGACTCCGGTGCTGGCGTACCGATGCTTGGTGAAGGAAGATGACAGGGAGGCCCCTAGCTTTCTATTCGAGTCAGTTGAACCTGGCTTGAATGCTTCCAGCGTTGTAAGTTTCTATTTTATCCTGCTTTTTTGGCAATTTTTTATACGAAGTTAATGTATTTTTGGTAGTTATGGTAAACTGATGACATAATACGCAAGTGATCTGCACGTAAGCCTCTGCTAGTTGTTTTGGATTATTTACAACTCACTGGAAGCTAGCGCTCCAAGGGTCACTCAGAAACATTCTTTTTATTGTTGTTTGAGAATCTATTTTAGGACTCTGCAAGGTAAATTATTAGGTTACCTAAATAAAAAATGTTAAGGTTTAATAATTCTGTCAAAGAATTTTCAATCTAATAAAAGTCTCAGCTTTTAGTAAGTAAATTTCTTGTTAAATAATAAAACACGTAAATCAAATTTGATCCAACATCCGGCCCCAACAACAATTCTCAACATCCTGGTCCGATCAATTAGGCATATATAGAAATATTAATATGAAGTGAGCATAGAATATTCTCAATATGGGTCATTCCAATAGTTATCATAATTTAATGTAGAAAGAAAGCAATTAAACATGCAACATAACTTTTTGAACTAGTGGAGTAGAAACTGACCATCTCAATCTCAAAATTAGGCCATCCAACTAGTGTGGGCTAGTCATCTGTATAGATCTGCATACCTTGTGATTTCTAACCACAAGACCCATCTCAACCTCGCTTATAGGATCACATAAAACGTGTTAGTTTCTAACTTAAACCATTAAAAGATGAAAACTAAAATCGATACAAAAACACTTCAGCACTTATACTAAAACACTTGGGCACGTAAGATCCATACCCTGTGTGTTATTGTATTGTACTTGAGCTCGTTTTATCTTAAAAAAATTATTTGAATCCTGTGAAAAAATCTTGAATTGAAGTAAAAGAATGAAGTGAAAGAAAACTTGAATTGTAATTGGACGCTCGTGCAATCTTTCTTTTTCTTCCTTTATTGCTCTTTCTCTCTTATAATCTTTTTTATAATCTCTCTTCTCTGTGCAATGATTTATCCATGGGTGATGGGAGATTAAATTAGGATAATTCTAGTTTTTACTTTTTATAGGTGAATTAATTTAGATTAACCTGTTTATTAAGGATAACTAATTCCTAACCTAATTGTACTAGGAATATTTCCCAAATCCCCCTTAAATTCAACCACATACACAAGTAACAAAAGTCAGCCTTTGACCTTCAATTATTACTGTTTTGTGACTTAAAATAGGTTTATTCCATTGTTTTAATTTAATTACAATAAATAATTGAACTAGTTGAATTAAAGTTTCCACTAGAAACCTATTAACCTATCCAAAATGTTGAGGTCAGTAAAGTAAAAAACAAGAGAAGGCAAGACCATGGAGCACACAGCCATGAGATGTGCGCTCAGTAAAGTCAAGACATAAGCTTTGACAAAGAAGTGTAAGCTTTGAGGCTCGTAATGAACTCCTTGACGAGGTGCACCTCTGAGCTTAAACCTCGGGCATTGTTACCAAACGACTCTAGTGCAAACATAAATACCACCCCACCCCACCCCACCCCACCAAAAAAGGAAAAAAAGACGAAAAGAAGAAAAAAGTGATATATTTTTATTTGTTCTAGATTTGTATTTTAAGTATCCCACATCATCTAGTAATCTCTAAATGGGTGATTTTTATATGCTTTTTATGTCTTTGTACCGCTATCTCAAAAAGAAAAATTAATCCACTCTTTGCCAAAAGTTTCTTTCACCCTTTACTCATTTATGTGGATGTGTTTATTCTTTTTCCCCTTTGTATTGGTTTAATTGATGTGGAACAACTATCCTAGGGGCGATATAGTGTGATTGGGGCTCAGCCAACCATGGAAGTTGTTGCAAAAGAGAATAAGGTGACCTTATTGGACCACCATGAGGGACAGAGGACAGAGGTGTTTGAGGAGGATCCGATGGCTATTCCTCGTAGGGTTATGGAGAAATGGAAGCCCCAAGGCATCGACGAGCTCCCTGAAGCATTTTGTGGTAACGAGTTATACTCTTTACCCTTTCATATGTCTATTTGGATTTGCATGAAGAATGTTAAACTTACTAGGCAGTATCTGATAAGAAAAGGTTTGGATAAAAGACTTTTGTTAAAAGAAGGAAAAATAGGACAATATTACTGGACAGGGACTCGTCAAAGGTAAAAATATTGAAAATAATAACTCATGTATTTGGAAATTAGTCTCAATACAGTTTTCGATAAAAGGAGTCTCGACTAGGTTCATATATGATAATTAATGTACCGTATCCCCTTGAAGCTATGTACCATGAAGAAGTCGAGAAAGCAACTCTTTTCCAATTTAGTTGAGAAGAAAGTTACTCCTACATTTATGATTGTATACCCATACTTTTTTTTCCTTTCCTTTTTTTTTTTGAATGTTTCAAGCATTTTTATATCTTCCCTTTAAGACACAGATTCTTCACAGTTTTTATTTTAAAGTTAAATTGAAAATAATTAAGTTCCTGCTTTTTCAACATACTTTATCACTAGCAGTTACACTGCAAATTCATTCTATCCATTCAATTAAGGATGAAACATAGTTGTTATTACCAACTGTCCTAGCATGTCTCTTTGCTTATACAAGTAACTGTTTGCTCATCTCAACAATAGCAATCTGCTTGACTATCGAACCTATAGAAGTCTGTTAGAAACTTTTTGTGTAGTCACTTGGGGAAAAGTGGGATTACCACTGAAAATAAAAAATCTTCATCATTTTCTTGCCATAATACAATGCAAAAATGGATGATTATGGCTTTCACTGTGATGTTTACCTGAACAAACATTAGGAGAAAAGCATTTATTTTGTCTTCACGTCCAGGACATAAACTTTGATGGACCTGCATGAGTGACATTGATAATGGTCTTGGTGTCCCACCCGTTTTGTTGTTGGCCTTGGCTTAGTCACCATTAATAACCTTATTCCAGAGGGAGCATGCTCAAACATAAACTGCCACGACCACTTTCCCATAAGAATAATGCTTTTAGTTATTCTTCGTAAAATGGCCCGGCCGGCCCTCCCTGTTCAATGGGGGAAACAGGAATCTGGACCCCAAATCGGATTGGTTTCATGTTATAAGTGGCTATCAGAAAATTGGCGAATGCTTTGTTGAACTGTAATCTGTGTAAACAGGCCATGGTTTGACCCCATTTTTTGGGGCTCTTATTTATGAAGATTTTATTTTTAAAAACTAAAAATTGTTGAACTCCGTGCTTAGAGCGCAGCCAGGCACACTGTATTTCCCTAACGCTGGGCGCCTTTTATACGCTATTCTTTTCTAGTTTCTTTCTTAGACTTCTGATGTTGGATAAACAAAACTCCCATTACAAAATATGATAAATGGGTACAGTGAGGTCTGAGGTAGTTGGGTGTATCTTTTTTAATACCAATCAATGATGTCATAGATCAGTTTGTCTGCTTTTTATTATAGTGTAGAATGAACATAGCTGTTGGCCAAGTCATTCATCGTTCAAAAATTTACACTTAATTTATTTTTGTTTAAATATTGCCCTATTCTTTTATTTTTCTTCTTTTTTATAGTGTGTATATATTTATGTATTTATTTTTGGCATCAAGTTGACCTTAGACCTTTATCTTTTCTGGTTCGGTTTCCAGGTTGGTTTTAAAAACATAGATTTTTAGGCACTGAATTTTAGAGAACTAGATATCCAGTGGACATGGGCATAGAAACCAGTCCCAAAATCACTGCACCTATTCTTTTCCAAAGAATTGTGCATTCTCCATTCAATAGTCATAGTGATGTAGGATGCGTATAATTTGTTAATGAACAAGAGAAAGAATAAGAAAGGAAGGGGTTCAAGCAGAGAAGAATTGAGGGTAAGAGGAAAATCACTTTAATTTATATAATCAGGTTGTCTTTTTCGTTGAATAAACCCCTCTATTTATAGAACAAGAAACTGGAAGAATATCAAATCAAATCAAATTCTACCTAATCTAGAATTTTATCAAAATAGCAAATCAAATCAAATCAAATCTAAATAATATATTTTGAATCAAACTCTATTTTAAAATTCTAATTAAAATCTATACTAATTCTTACCTCTTCATCTCCATCACTTGGTCTTTGTTTCACATCTGTTATTCAGTTGCTTGAGACTAGGAGCTACACCTACCTAATCCAAAATCATAATAACTATTAAAGAAGCTTGTTTTGTTTTAGGAGATATCAATGTTTTCATTGTTCAAAAAAATCTAAAGAAGCATAAAACTTGCATTCAAGGAGCTAACTCAGAAGAACAACTCTCCACTTAATGGACTAGACAATGCTTAATCCCATACTTCTTTGGGGCCAGCTCCAACTCTATAATGGGCTATTCCATGGTTAAGTTAGCAGAATTGAACCTCATTACTTGTGATTTTAGGGTGACCTTTTCTTTTAGATATAGTAAAACCTCTCTATAGTTATAATGTTGAGATCAAACTAAATTTTATTACTATGAAGAGGTATACTTTATAGAGGTGTAGTTACAAAAGTTATTGTTTTGATTTAGTTATCCTTAGTGCAAGTGGTATAGAGGTAAAATATGAACTACATTAATAATTAATTAAGAGAATGTCAAATCCAAGGTATAGACATTGATAAAAGAGATAAGAAACAGTTTCAAAAAGCTGGTGCATGTATCTTTGTAGTGTTGAAAATGTGCAAAATCATCTTAAACCTTTAATATAACATATCATATATTTTTTTGGTCCCAAACAACTTTAGATAAATGCACTATTTCGTCTTAAACCTTTAATTAAACACAAGCATATATTTTTTTGCAATATTATGATAATTATTACTATGTGGAAGCAAGTTCCTTAAGATGGGACCTAGAAAAATTATAATCTATTACAATGTGGAGTTTATTCTTATGTATAACTGGCCCGTTCTATGAGTACATTGGAGGTTATTCTTATATAGAGTATCACTATAGAGAGGTCTTATACCTGATGCTAGTCTCGTCACTTTTCTTAAGCGATACATTTAAAAACCTCTTTTTAAAACTATTAGCAGGGGTAGAAACTGCAGCCGTTTAAGAAATTACAGTCTTCCAAATCGGAACCGGCCAATTCTTGGGTATATCATGAAGTTACAAAGCTTGTACCTGTGAACCAACCTCCTACATGAAGAATACTAAAAGCCTAGAAGAAAAGCCTAGAAGAAGTTGCAAAATCTCATGGAAGGAGGCAATAATTGATGTAACCAGCTTACTCGAGCAAACTTCGGCAAGGGGAAGTTGAAGCTTTTCTATGAAAATTGGAATCTGATAAAGACTTTTTATCTAGGTCTTGCCTTCTTTTTTGGCACTTTCTAGTTTTATTGTTTGCTATTTGAATGCCCAAATGTTAAGAGAGTTGCTGTGAATTCTTTTCAGCAAAACAGAATGATAGGTATATCTAATCAAAGCTGATTTTACTATGAAAGTGAATTACAATCTTGCTATTTCTGTTGTTTATCCATTTATTCAGCAAAACGGGTTATATCCAATCTAGCTTGCTTTCATTTCAATTTTAGAGGTTTTACAATAACATAATGTAGCTTAGACACTGTCTAAGGTTATTATTTCCCAACTGAAGTTTGGTTTTAGAAAAACTTCCTTTCTTTTTTGGCCATCAGAATAAGAAGGGCCTTTGAACAAAATCAACACAAAGATGTCTTTTTTTTTTCTCTCTTTTTTTTTCTTTATGGGCTCGTTCAAGCCCTTCCTTTATTCAAATATTTCGACCATTTTCGAGCACCTCATAGTATTTTCGGGACGGTAAGATAATAAGAATTTCATTCTCACTCAAATCCGCAGACCACCCCCCATCAATAAAGCAAAGAAGTTTCACAACCTGAGAACCATGCGTCAAAAAATTTTCTTAATATTTTCTAAAGCAATTTATCTTCAATTTGAGAACTAAAGAACTCACTGCCGCCATAAGATTGAAAGTTGCTAAATTTTGCTATAAAGTTTGTTGAAATACAGAGAAAAAAATCATTTTCTCATGCATGGCAGTTTAATCTTCAATGACTATCTAACCAACAGTAAGGTAGTCCCTGTGAAGGCACTACAAAAGAGAAAAGTCTTATCTTACACTCAAACACAGTTTTTTGGTGATGTGCTTTATCTTAAGATATGTTATCAGTTTTCCTTGAGTTTAAGCCCCTGTTTGACACCCATTTTGTTTGAAAAATAATTTTTGGAATAGTGATTGATGGAAGATTGTGTGGTTAAAAAGTAAGGAGAATTTTTGTGTTTATGTGTAATATTATTTTATTAATAGAATGTGTGGTTGAAATGAAGAAAGAGAAATAGAATGAGAAATAGAATGAGAAAAAAATGGGTGTCAAACAGGGGCTAATTAACTAACTAAAATAAATGAGAAATAGAATGAGAAAAAAAATGGGTGTCAAACAGGGGCTAAATGTATATCTAAGATGGATCCAGATTAATGTTTTATAGTACTCAGGGTAGAGCTGCAGTCCTTATAGTTTAGATTTGTAATCAGCATTTGTAAAACTGGGGCTTTATTTTATTTGGTTTTGTAAAGTAGCACAATTTCTGAAATTCAATATTCAATTGAATGTTTGTTACTTCGTTTGAATGTCTAATTATTAAATGACGAGTCACACTTTTCAGTTTTCGACCGAGTCTTATTGATCTTTCCTGTAATCCCTGCTCTGCTGATATTGTGCCTGATTTGCCGTTTATTTTCTGAAGATATTTACTTATGCATAGATGCAGATATATTGATAGCTTTATTTATTAAGGTTCTACATGTACACATGGTTTACGGACCAAGATTTACTTAAATATTATGTTCTTTACGCCATTCATTAGTTTCCTATTTGACCTCGAATAACAAGTATTAACTTTGTTTGGACCCGGACTTGGCAATCCTTATTTTTTCCTGATGGTCTCTCAAATAACCATCATTTCTCTTGACAGTATTTTAAAGGCGATTCAGTTCACTGTAAAAAATAATGTTTGTTTGAGAGAGGAAATCTTTACTCCTAGCTTTAAATGAAAAAAATGACTCTGTCCTTGAAATGGATGTGAATTATAGTTCATTAACAGTATATTATTTCTCAAACAGGTGGTTGGGTTGGTTATTTTTCATATGATACAGTGCGTTATGTAGAAAAGAAAAAGCTACCATTTTCAAATGCTCCCAAGGATGACAGAAACCTTCCTGATGTTCATCTAAGCCTTTATGACGATGTGATCGTGTTTGATCATGTGGAGAAGGTTCTGTCTCTGCCCTTTAAAATTTCGTTGTTTTGTTAAACATGGCATTTTGATACAAACATGGCATTTTGATACAAGGCTCTCTCTAATTTATAGAGCTCGCCACTTGTAATAGATATACTATATACAAGTTGCATCCTTGCTCATACAATTTTCTCATTAGATGGAATTTCTTCTAGAAAAGCTGTGTCCTGAGATGGAGGCGATTCAAAGGCACATTCCTTATTGAAAGATAATTAGTACGATTCAAAGACACAATCTCCTCTAAGAGGAGAGTTATCTTTTTGGAATAGATAGTTCGCAATGCTAGGTCTATATAACTTGAAAAGCAAACTCATTTATATTAAACTGAATCGCACCAACTCTAATACAATGAGAAATGCAAATTTCACCATGCAAGAAGATTAAAAATGATTTACAAGTATATCCTAATTTTTTCTGTCCAACATTTTCACCTTGCAATCTTGTTAATCTATTATATTTTTTGATCATATTTTGTATATTTATTTGACGTGGCTAGAAACTTGTAATATTTGAAAATTCGTTTCAAGGCCAAGATGAAGAATAATATTATTTTAAGTTTTCTTTTAAAATTGACTTTTTCTTATTCAAAAATCGAATAAATTTTTATTAAATCAATCAAACATTTTGCCAGTAAGTACCATTAGATGAATATTTTTATTTGTTATCAATTCTCATATAACAGGTGCATCCTATTTAGAGAAATTTAGGACTTCTAGCTCCACCTGTGATTGCCGTCTGAATTTTATTGTTCTGTTTTTTTAATCATCATATATTTAAATGCTTATTACTCACAGAAAGCATATGTGATACACTGGGTAAGGTTGGATCAGTTCTCTTCTGTTGAAGAGGCCTACAATGATGGGATGAATCGATTAGAAGCCTTATTGTCAAGAGTGCATGATATAGTGCCGTAAGTGTGGCTCTAATTTGGCAGACCAACATTTCTATGTTTGTTTCTGCTTTTTATTGTTATGTTTGACTTGGCTATCAATTGCAGTCCTAGGCTACCTTCAGGTTCAGTTAAACTGTCTACTAGCCTTTTTGGCACTTCATTAAGTCAGTCCACCATGACAAGAGAAGAATATCAGAAAGCAGTAAGACAAGCTAAGGAGCATATCCTTGCTGGAGATATATTTCAGATAGTGCTAAGTCAGCGATTTGAACGGCACACTTTTGCGGATCCATTTGAAGTCTACAGAGCATTAAGAATCGTTAATCCGAGTCCATATATGACTTATTTACAAGTCTGATTACTCATCCCTAAAATTATTTGTCTCTGAGAGATTCATTTCATGTTTTGTTTCTGACTTTCCACAAAAATATTAATTGAGACAGGCTAGAGGGAGTATCCTGGTTGCTTCAAGTCCCGAAATTCTTACTCGAGTTAAGAAGGTAAGTTTGCTTCATTTTACCCTTTGAACGTTTGAGCACTTTCATGAAAATTCTACTGTTCCATTTTGCATGTCTTTTTAAAATGGTAGTATTTTCTGTTCTTTTTTCGATGAAATTTACTGTACAAGCATTTGACAGCATGTTATTTCCATGTTTGTTTCTCGTGGTCTTTTATTTATTTCGGGCAGAGAAAGATCACTAATCGCCCTTTGGCTGGGACTATTCGGAGAGGCAAGACACCAGAAGAAGATTATATGTTGGAAAATCAGCTTTTGCATGATGCAAAACAGTGTGCAGAACACATTATGCTTGTTGACTTGGGAAGAAATGATGTTGGAAAGGTTGTTTCCTTATATTTCTAATGTTATGAAATAAATTCTGCATATCTTGGAACAATCTCATGTAATGTCACAAAATAAGACATTTGCTTTTGGAATGGGGGAGTATATTTTTTCACGTTTTCTCATGGAATCCTGGTTTATGAATCTCCATTTACATTTTTTGTTGATAAGTTGAATCATGTATTACATTGCCATTTATGAATCTCATTGCCATTTGCCATGAAGAAGTCTTTGCCATGTGTAGGTTTCAAAACCTGGTTCTGTGAAGGTGGAGAAGCTCATGAACATAGAGCGCTATTCCCACGTCATGCACATCAGTTCCACAGTAAGTATTTCTTGCTTGATATAATCCATATTAGCAGTATATATTTGTGTGGAAAAGATCAATTGCTTCTGGTATTCTTGTTTTGAGTTATTGGAAGGGCTATTATTTTTGACATGACAGGATGATTTAATCTGCTATTTAAGGTTGTCATATGAAGGTTTTACTAGTTACCCAACAAAAAAGACGTTCTTTTTAATCAGAAAGGAATGGATAAGGATGATGGTTTTTCATAGTCATTAAAATGGCAAAATTAATTCCTGTATATGAATTTCGAAACTACTATTTGTCTGGATCTTTTCATTGTTTTTAAGATGAAAAATTCGGATGCTGTTAGATACTCTAGCTGTTCTTGAGAAAAACGATCTGCTGGTATGTAATTTGTAGTACTTGTATGGTTAGTTTGGTAAGGTGGACTGTTAGTACTGGACATTATAAGGGAGAAAAGCTAAATCCTGTCATTATAATGTCCATTCCTATCTAGTACTGATTATCAAACATGCGTATAATGTATCGTTTCTTATCAATTACACAGGTTACTGGTGAGTTGCTTGATCATTTAACTAGCTGGGATGCTCTGCGTGCAGCATTGCCAGTTGGAACCGTTAGTGGTGCTCCAAAGGTCATTCATTCTCTTTTTCATTGCAAATAAATGATTTTTTTATTTATAATCTTATCTTATATGGATCGTTCAAAAAATTAATCCATGTCTAATTTTTTTTGAAGGAAAACCCGAAATTAGCTGAAATATGTATAAACTAGCTCAGTGGTGGAGTACCCAGTCAATGATCATGATTGCATTCTCCCATTTGACTTTTGAAGTCAATTTGGAGTTTCTTTTGAGCAATAATTTATGTACATACTTCTACCATTTATCATCTTATAAAAAGTAGATTTGATGGGAAGTTTATTATTATAAAAGTTTTTGTCTCAAAGGTATGTATAAATTAACTAGAATTTCTGCATTAAAAATTCATACGTTGACTGCAGAAGTTAAATGGGCCTACTGTGGATAGAGGGAGTTAAATAAGCTCATTGTGCATATGTAAGTAAAACCTAGAGGGTGTTTATTGGACTTTTTAGTCTATTATCATCTAGTAATCGCTCACGACATGGAATTGGACCTTTATCGTCTATTATCATCATTGTACCCACTTCTGAAATCCTTCCTTTTGCCTGTCCTGCTCAACTAGGTAGACTGACCAAGGCCTAGGTTGGTATTATTTGGGCTTGTGAGTTCACTTTACAAGAAGCTTACATTTTGGCCTTGACAAAAAGAGGCAAGGTGGCCAGAGGAATATCCTTGATGTCGCGCTCAAACATGGCCTTAACAATACATTTTAATACTATCTTAGTCTTTCTCAAAGATGAGTTGAGCAACAGTTCACTTATTATCCTAGGATGCACTAAATATAATCTATCTTTGGTTGTGTAGGTGAAAGCTATGGAATTGATAGATCAACTAGAAGTTACAAGGCGTGGGCCATATAGTGGTGGATTTGGAGGCATTTCTTTCACTGGAGATATGGATATTGCTTTAGCTTTGAGGACTATCGTTTTCCCAACCTCTATGCGTTATGATACAATGTACTCATACAAGGATAAGAGTACGCGTCAAGATTGGGTTGCCCATCTCCAAGCCGGGGCTGGCATAGTGGCTGACAGTGATCCTGCTGATGAACAGAGTGAGTGTGAAAACAAGGCTGCTGCTCTTGCTCGAGCCATTGATCTTGCCGAGTCATCATTTGTTGAAAAGTAATGTAATATTAGATCCCTTTTGAAACTTGTTTTGTGCCCTATGTTCACAGTTCTGTATCTTCAAATAGACTTCAAAAACATGAAATTATGAATGCATTAGGAAAAGAAAAGTAGGAAATTTTGCTCAACCACCTAATTTTGGGAAAACAGTTGGGGCCCATTTATGCTGTGCGTTGAGTTTAGCAGAAAGCCCATACATACTTATCTTTATTGAGTTTCTATCAAATTATATGTTTTGAGGTTTTTTGTATTGCAAAATAATTTTTGTTCAAGTCTCTAGTTAGATATCCATTATTGACAAAAAATGAATAGTGATTTTTTGGAGAATGTGTGGTTAAAAAACAAAGATAAATTTTGGGTTTACGTGTAAAATATTTAATTGTGTGAATGTATGGTTGAAAATCAACATGAGAATTAAATTTGTTGTTTTAACGGGGAAACGAACAGGGTCCTAGTTCCTGTTTGGCTTCCACTTCTTAAAATTCATTTTTTTAACACTTATTTTCAACTATATATTTAATAGAATTCACAATTTTTATCAAGTTTTTAATTATATATTTTACGAACTTTTATCAAAATTTAATTAAAAAATATTTTTTATTCAAATCAAACGGGCTAAGAGTAAAATACATTAGAATGTTTAGCTATATGGATTCTTGTTGGCTACCACTAGATCAAAATAATCACGATGTAGGAGAGCTACCCTGAACAAATAAATGAATGGCGGCTCATCAATTGAGAAGATATGCAATTCAAACCTAAGAGAAATATGCAATCAGTCGATTTGGTTGGTCCTATTAAAATATGATAATAGGACAAGCATAAATAAAACTTTGATATCCATTTTCCCTTCCAAAACTCCAGTCTCGAGTCTTCTGAAAATAGAGGCATCAAATTGAGCAGACTAATTGGAACTTGTGTGCCGATACCAAGGTCGTTCCACGGGCAGACCTGCTTTCATGGCTGATCAGTTTGGTTGGTGAAGCTGAGGCTCTGTTCTGTGCGAAAGCCTCTTAGGCAATAGCCTAGAGTCTCAAAATTTGAGGAACCTCTAAAAAAATTATTAAAGAAATTTATCTTCACCAAGCCATTGTTAAAGGGCTTCGAAGAGAATTTCCACCTTCAGGCCCCAAGAATTTGGTTTGGGTAAGGGTTAGGCTTATCTATGCACAATTGGGAGCAATTTGGTTCTGTTTTGGGGGTTTTAAAAAGGAACGATGATATTTAGTACCAGTTGTGATAGAGCACCGGTTTATGTAACATTACGTGATATGTTCAATTAAATGTGAAATTTTATAATTTATTGACATTTTATTTAGGGAAAAAATCATAAATAAGGTGTATACTTTACACAAATTCAAAAATCAGGTTTATAGTTTGAAAATTCAAAATTAGGTTTTTATTTTTATTTTTATTTATGAAATAATAAATTATTTAATCAATTTATTATTAAATATTTAATTCTAATATAATATAATTAACCCACCCCACATGCACCACCTATACCGCTATGGGGACTATTCTGACGACCATTCCGACCACCACTCTTCTCCAGCGATTGTTCCGATTTCGGTGACTATTCCGACGACCATTCCGGCCACAGATTTACAATTTACGGTCACAACTCAAAAAATTTGTAGGTCCCAATTAATTCGTTGGTCACAAATTTCAAAATTAGTTGGTCACAGATCAAAATTTATGTCACACAGTCACAGATTTCCAAATTAATTAGTCACAGATTTTTTCACGGTCATAAATTATATAATTTTTAGGTCACAAATAACAAAATGATTGGTCACGGATTATATTTTGTCATAGACTTCCGAATTTGAAGGTCACAGATTATATTTTTAGTAACAGAAAATCAAAATCAACAGATCCACCAGATCCTCCACCTGCACCACCGTCGACTGCCATCACCATTGTCAACCCACCACACACCACATTTGGTCAAATACCAACGCACACTGACGTGCCACCACCACCGTACCCACAGCACACACCCACCACCACTGCACCCAACCACACCACCATCTCACCATAGCAACACCACCACCCCAAAATAAATCAACAATCGCAAAAAAACACCACAACATCGTCGAGCCAGATCGACAGACCCATCGACGCCAACATCTCACCATCACCATTAACCACAGAACGACGGTCTCATCTCACATATCTACTTCAAAACCACCACCACCACCACACAAACCACCACACGGACCACCACCACTCTCGCCATAGATCCACCACCACAGATCCACCACCGCACCTCCACCACCGCACCACCCACAGCCACCACCACCACCACCACCACCACCACCATCTCCTTTTCTCCATTTACACCACACAGCCACACCTACACCCACAGCCAAACATGAGAAGGGGATGAGGGAGAAGAAAGGGACTGCACACGATTTTCACGAGAATGGGAGGAGGAAGAAGTGATGAGAGGTACTGCTGCTCGTCGCGAGAAGGGGATGTGAGAGAAGATAGGAGGGCTGCTGCTGCTCGTCGCGAGAAGAGGATAAGGGAGAAGAGAGGAGGGGCGATCGCCGGAGCAGCCTTCTACTTGTTGTCAACGGATCTGCCGGAGGGAGAGGACGGAGCTGCCGGAGGGAGAGGAGTGAGAGAAGGAAGAGAGAGAGGCGAGAGGGGGAGAAATGGATTTGATAAAATTAGGGTTTTAATATTAATATATTTATTAAAATATAAAAGGGCAATTAGCAAAAATGGTCCCCAATGTTTACACTCTTTGCTAAAATGGTCCCTATCGTTTTAAAATTGGCATTTGTACCCTTATTTCGAACGTTTCTTACGGAATTGATCATTCCATCCATAAACCATTAAACATCCGTTAGAACCTTTTGATAATTTACAGAAATAGTCCCTATGGAATATAATTTAATATAATTTTGGAACGGTCTGCTTCGACGAGTGGTAACTTTCGCTACGGTTAGCCGTTTTGCACGCAGTTAGGGATGGGAGAAACTAGGTCGTGAACACTTCGAAATGGTATTAAAAATGTAATATTTCGACTTTATTTGACTTCTCGTAATAATCCCGCAAAATGGAGACAAAAAATAAGAAAAATCGTTTATATATTTTGGAACGGCCTGCTTCGACGAGTGGTAACTTTCGCTACGGTTGGCCGTTTCACATGTCCTTAAAGATTGGAGAAATTAGGTCATGAGCACTTCGAAATGGTATTAAAAATGTAATATTTCAACTTCGTTTGACTTCCCGTAATAATCCCGCAAAATGGAAACAAAAAATAAGAAAAATCGTTTATATATTTTGGAACAGCCTGTTTCGACGAGTGGTAACTTTCGCTATGGTTGGCCTTTTCACACGCCGTTAGGGATGAAAGAAACTAGGTCATGAGCACTTCGAAATGGTATTAAAAATGTACAAACGATTTTTCTTATTTTTTGTCTCCATTTTGCGGGATTATTACGGGAAGTCAAACGAAGTCAAAATATTACATTTTTAATACCATTTCGAAGTGCTCATGACCTAGTTTCTTCCATCCCTAACGGCTGCGAAACGACCAACCATAGCGAAAGTTACCACTCGTCGAAGCAAACCGTTCCAAAATATATAAACTATTTTTCTTATTTTTTGTCTCCATTTTGCGGGATTATTATGGGAAATCAAACGAAGTCGAAATATTACATTTTTAATACCATTTCGAAATGCTCATGACCTAGTTTCTCCTATCCTTAACAGTGTACAAAACGGCTAACCGTAACGAAAGTCACCACTCGTCGAAGCGGTCGTTCCAAAATATATAAACGATTTTTCTTATTTTTTGTCTCAATTTTACGGGAGTATAACGGTAGCGAAAGTTACCACTCGTCGAAGCAGGCCGTTCCAAAATTATATTAAATTATATTCCATATGGACCATTTCTGCAAATTACCAAAAGGTTCTAACGGATGTTTAACAGTTTATGGATGGAAGGACTAATTCCGCAAGAAACGTTTGAAATAAGGGTACAAATGCCAATTTTAAAACGATAGAGCCCATTTTAACAAAGAGTGTAAACGTTGGGGACCATTTCTGCTAATTACCCAATATAAAATTATTAACCTAATACCTGAATTATGATTAAAAAACTTCAGTACCTGACATTTGCACTATAAACTTCAAATGCCTGGATTCGTGTAATTTCCTCTTTTATTTAATGATACTTAGTGTTACCTAGACTATTATTGTAATATTGGTGATGCTAAATAATATTACTATTTAAAAAGTCCTTTCTCAATTGGTGTGCAAGTGTTTAGGCCCAAAGTTTTTTTTTTTGGAACAATACATAACTCCTAATTTTAAAAATCACATTTCATAAATAAATAACAAACTCATTAAAATATTTCAAAAATCAGGTGGTAAATAAATTTATTAAATATTAAAATACAAGATAATATACATTAATTATTTCTACCAATGCTACCTCACCTTCCCTATCCTATCACCCCACTAAACCACATTCCCTCCACCTCTCTACCGGAGACAGCCATCGGCTCCGAGGTCGCTCCGGCGACTGTTCCGGCGATCACTCCGGTTTCGGTGATCACTTCGGCTGTCGCTCCGACGACTTAAAAATTTTCAGAAAATAAAAAATTGAAAATCACACCCCTACCCCATGGATCTACCTACCATCGCCCCCATTCGCTGACACATGTCATCCGTGACTAATTGTGACCAAATTTGTATTCAATGTGACTAATTGTGACCAAATTTGTGTTCAGTGTGACTGTTAGTGTGACTGTATGTGAATAACTGTGACCAAGTGTGTATTCAATGTGACTAACTGTGATCAAATTTGTGTCGAGTGTGACTGTCTGTGACTAGGTCAATCTCAAGTCAAAATCGGTCATAATCAACACAAAATTGGTCACAACCGTCACAATCGATCACAATTAACACAGAATTGGTCGCAACCAGTTACAATAAACACATAATTGGTCACAAAGGGTCACCACAAACAAATTTGTATAT